ACACACACACACACACACACACACACACACATACACACTTCGGACCCCCCACCAAAAACAATAAATCAGTTCTGGTGACTTCTGCGTTCTAGTTCATTGGTGCTTTGCATACAAGCATATGATACCACTATGAGGTATCTTGTTTCTACAAAGATACYCCTTGTTTATTTTTTGTTGTTTTGTTTTTGTCAAACCTATACTTTACTCTAGGCTGCAGTAGCATGGTGCTCAGTGCTGCAATCTTGTTCAGTTAATGCATGTAACCAGACAAATCCCACAGAGTTTACAGATCTTATATTCAAGGGAGGCATTGGCCTGAAGGAGACCTGAGCATGCACAGGTTTAGACTGTGGAAGAAAACCAGAGATCCTGCAGAAAACTCTGGCAAACATGAGGAGAATATTCAAAACTCCATACAAAAACAAAACAACAACAACAACAACAACAACAAACTTCAGGCCCAAACTGGGGCGAGAGCACAGGACCTCCTTACTGTGCACTATCAGTGCTAACCACTAATCCATCATCCTGCCCCGTTCATGTTTCATGCAAGCTTGCTTACTAAGATGACCCCTGCAGAAGAAAGACGAGTGTGTTACTCTAAACTGCATTTTGTTTGAAACAATCATTTGATTTTTTTTCCTTTTGTGTTTCTGCCTTTAGATTGTCGAGCAAAAAAAGAACGCTAAGAGCTACCACTACATCCTCGCCAACCTGGTAAGAAACCATCCCAATGCAGCAGCATCTTTATCATCTGTTTAACCTCTTGAGCCCCATGCCCCCGGTACCAGGGGCAAAACTGTTTTTTTTTTCTATTTGTTTTAACTTTTTTAACTTCAGATCAGTCTTTTAAGGCAGGTAAGAAAAAATAAATAACTTTTGGATGTAAAAACTTAAGATTTCTTAACATTTATCATGGTCTGTCCTGTGCAGAATGACAAAATGCAAAATTATTTCTTTCCTAAAACCTCGTAACTTTGCTCCAGATAATTTTAGCAGCATGAATCTTTGCACAGGTAATGTCCACAAGTGGATTTATGGTTTTCAGGAGTTTTTAACCTTCTTCATTATAGTTTTAAATGGGTTACATACTGTCAAATGAAAAAAAAATTCAGGTGAGAGTAAAAAATAAATAAATGAAAAATATGTTCCATCCCCAATATCTCTAAAACCACAGCAACTGTTTTAAAACTTACCATACCAATATTATTTAAGTAGAGTTTGTAAATACTGGGATACACTCACATACATTTCAGCATGGTGTTTTGAGCAAAAACTTCAAGAAAACCCCTTGGGGCTTAAGAGGTTAAAGTTCTTTACAAAAAAACAAACACTTTACAACATATCTCCATACTTCTGTTGAATTTAAATTGCCAGTAAATGAAACTTTTAACAGCACTCCTGACTTTCAGTGCTTTATCGCTGCTTTTAATAGACTTGGGGGCGCTGGATAAATTAGGGTGGAACTATCTGGTTTCACATCTTCTCATTCCATTTTCCACTTGAGCTATTCTTTGGATGTCAAMGCCACAAAAGTGACAGCAGTTCAGTGGTACAGCAAAGCACATGAGGAGGGGTAACTGTGACAGTTGGAGACAAAAAATCTTTGCAGACTTACTTTGACAGAAAAGGGTCAGGCAGCCCGCATGTATATAAGCTGTATCTATTAGTTCTCGTTTGTTCACTGTGGTTTTCTCAACCCAAAACGGTATGTAGACCACTGGAGCGCCCGTCTAAGGGCACCAACAGAAGACGTGGCTCTAACAGCATTAATATGCTGCTGCTGCCTCTGACAATTTCTCGCCGCTCAGCTTCTCGATTGGCTCAATCTCTTTTGTCCGGCCAGTTTGCCAGATTTAATTTTAAACGATAAGGCTCGGGCGGTATGAGCGGCTGAGTCGCAAAGTGGCTGCAGTCCTTTATAATGGGCCCATTAAAAGACTGGTACAAAGAAAAAAAAAAGAAAATGAAGAAAATTGGAAAATAAAGGACATTTTCTTTGTCCTTGTACCTTTTCAGAATTGGGCTAATTAACTTACCGGAGCAGCCCGGCGCCTGCACCTGCGCGAGGATCCGAACAGAGCATAGTTTGAATTCCATTCAGCGCCTAAATGGGGTTACAGTATCTGTCGGAAACACGCCTCCTCCGTGCTCAGTGTCGGCGAGGGCTAGTTTCTATAGTAACCTATTCAGCTCAATGCGCAGCATTAGCTCATTCATGGAGCAAAGAAAAGACACAAGTCTTCCTGTTGAGCTGAGAAATATACAGACACCTGACAACACACGCAGGTATTTTAGGAGGCAGCGGTGATGGAGCCAGGCGTGAAGCTCCGTCTCTGAAAAAGAAAAGCATATTAAACAGCTTTAGTCAACTTTAAGCTATAGTCAACAACAGCCCCTCTTTTATTCATCTGTCTTTGGACTGTTTGATGATTAAAGAATGCAAACCGAGCAAGAGTGTGAAACAGACACGTAGCAGAAAGAGAACCAAAGCTTCAAACGCTGTGAAACAAATAACGTCAGAACAAAGCAGAGGGTGAGAAGTACTCAACGCAGCACAAATGGTGACAATGACAACGCAGAGGCTCCTCTCATCAGTTAAAACACTGCTTTAAAAAATAAAATAAAAAAACAGCAGAAAAATCTTCTCCCACTTGTCTGCACTGACAGGCAGCCTGCTGAGAGCCTGAAACTCCATCTCCTCCTTTCTTCCTCTTTCTAAAAAAAAAGGGAAAATAAATCAGCTACATGAGAGTCGGGGAAAAACGTACACAAGCAGGAGATACTGTCACAGTTAATCTGTATTTTGCATGAAGTATGTTATATTTTCCCCCAGCGGCCTATAATGTTTTGATCCTCCCATTGTTTAATGTAGCCTAGGAGAACTGGATCTGTCATAGATTAGCTCTCTGCTGCTTCGGCTAAAAATAAAAAGGTTTTCTTCACTGATTGCATCCTGCGCCTTTACTCCTTTGTTTTCTCAGCCATCTTTGCCACAAACCATCCAGTAATAAAACACAAAGCTTAAGATCAAATGCAGATTATTTTGTGTGTTTTATGCCTTTTATTTGGAACCAATAATGATCACATTTGAATTAATTAAAGAGAAAAAGATTACGTAAAGATGTAATCCATGAGAAAGCAGCACTATCTTTAGAGAAAACAGACAGTTTTAGAAATTATATACACTAATTCACTTTAAACTGCATGATAAAATTCTGCCTGGAATTATATGCAATTTAAATGTACTTGTAGCAAATATTCAACTTTCATAGTGTTTTAATATAATCAATCTTTGTTAATACAAAAGCATTATTCTCTAAATATTTTTGTAAGCATGATTCTTTTAAAAATATAGCTGTTTCTCTGTTAGGTTGGTGTCCTTTTCTTTTCTGTGACAAACTGGTCACAGGAAGTGAAAGTAATGAAAACTACAGTGTTTTCTTTTTTAGAGTTAGCAGTGCAGATGAAATGACAAAGTAAAAAATAACTTGAGGGTTGTGTCAGATTTTTAATCTTTGGCTGCCAACACTCGTAATAAGCAATTAAACAGTCGTATTGATTAATTGTCTTTTTTATTTGGGTTTTTAAAATTAACTTAGAACTTTTGTGATCCAGGGTGTAATGATACAACTTCAGTGATTTATTTTTTTAAACAATAATTGGGCCCAAGTTTGAATTCGTTCTAGATTTTCACTAATCCACGCCGGGTCAATGTTGTGGCTACAATAGCATTCAAACAAAATGTCTTTAAAATGATACCTGTCTTGATGTCGGTCTCAGGGTTTCCTGGACATTGACCTGACAGACCTGAGGAAAGGCGGCGCCAACATCACCGGCTTCCAACTCGTCAACAAGTCTGATCCCAGTGTGAGCCGCATCGCCCAGCAGTGGATGGAGTTTGATATAAAAGACAACAAAACCAAGACAGCACTCAAAGTAATACAGCTTGGCTTTCCTAAATAATGCCTTCTTTTTATTTATATCATATTCCTTTATATGTAGGTGTTTGGAGGTTGCATCATTATGCCACACATGTTGGTGTAAAATTCCTTTTATATGGGCAAAACATGAAGAAATAAAGAAAATGTTGCAAAAAGAAAGTTACGTTTTGAGACGTGTATACGTGACATTTTTACGCTTAAGGAAGTATACACATGACCTTGTAAATAATGTTGTATTTATGCAGAACATCTGCCAAGAGCAGAAAGGAGCCATTGACATGCAGATCTAATGAGGCGAATAAAAAGATGAGCAATAGCAACATTTATTACAGAGAAAAAACACAAAATGACCACAATACCACAAAGGGGTAGATAGAGAATTTGCATAGCATGAGATTGTGTAACAACATTGTTGGGTCGTGGCTACATTACGTTTGCAATCATGACATGCATATAAGGTATAACATACCTTATGACATTTAATTGCCTGAAATAAACCTTTTTTTTATGACGTGTACTGTTTGTGCCCAGGTCCTCCGTGAAAATGAGATCTCAGAGGGGTTTTAAATCTGGCTCAGTAAAGGAAACGAATGACTGAATGAATGAAAATATCCAATCAGCTAATCACATGGCAGCAGCTCTGTGCTTTTAGGCATGTAGAGCAGAAAAGTTCAAACTGGGCATCAAAATGGGAAAGAAAGGTGATATACAGGCGCATCAAAAATTATATATTAAATTTTGAAAAACTTTTTGTTTTTATCAGTCAGTTCAGAAAGTGAAGCTCAACTCTGATCTGACTGATTAAAATATGGAACTTTTTCATGATTTTCTAATGTCTTGAGATGCCGCTGTAAGTGACTGAGTGTGCTGTGGTTGTTGGTGCCAGAAGGGCTGGTCTAATGTTTTTAGAAACTGCTGATCTGTTGGATTTTTTATTTTTATTTTTTTACTGGCTGGTTGTTCTGTTTGTCTAAATTCCCCTTGAACATGGTGCAGTAGAGGATGAATGGCAATTAGTTACATCTGACCTAGAGATTAGCAATAATGCGGTTTCTGATGATGATCAGAGCAGCGAAGCTCCTTGGCTGACTCCTCCTACCAAACCATCCTGGACTCTGTGGCTCCAWTAGAATTATGGGCTCGACACACGGGCAGCGACAAACTACAGCGATTAACGGCTGTCATYGCAGCCAGGGTGAAACCCGACACACGGGACGAATCGTGCTCTCAGGTCGCTTGTCTTTACAAAATTTGATTGGTTCTTGACTCTGAAGGCGGGTGTGTGTTACGGACGTGTAAACTAAACAAACCTTGCGATGCTAATGAAATTGAAAAACAAACACACATCAAGATACAGTTTTATGAGGAAAAACTTACCATAAACTTCACCCTGGTGCCAATAAATTCCCACAAAGCTTTTTAGTAATCACGTGGTGAAAGTGTTAGCTAACGGCAGTGTGTAGCATACTCTCCTCTCATTGGTCAGTCAATGAAACCCTCGCTGATTGGTTGTACGCTAAGCGACAGCGACAAAAGTTGAACATTTTTCAACTTTCATATGTCGCATCGCAAGCTCGCGTGTGCACGTCTACGTGTACGAGCGTGAAATTTCACATGCACTATTTTCGCCGGTCGCTTAGCTGGAGGAGGGCAAGCGATTGTCGCCTCATCGCACAGGCTCCATAGGAAATGAATGGAGAGCGAGCGACGTCGCCTCCCGTGTGTCGAGCCCTTTATGCAGTAGTGAAGTGCAGATAGATACTGAAATATCAATACCACCAATGCTAGAACTTTAAAAGTATCAATACTTTGATTTTCCAGGGATGTCATTAACAGAAGCACAGTGGAAAGCAACCAAACTATTGGAATCGTGTCTAAATCATTCTTGGTTGGAGGTAACTACTTTTTCTTCCAGCTGGGTAATGCATACGTGCTGTGATGCATGCTCAGTCACTCAATCTGTTTATGGTACGCATTGAGTATTTTCATGTTAACATGTTCTTGTAACGTACGTAAATTAAGATACAATCGTTCATTTTTATAGTACTTCTCAATAATAAACAAGTTATTTTAATGGTTTTAATAATTTACTTTATTGCTTAAAACAAAATGTTCACAAACTTTGTATGATTGTCCTCTGTTGTTTCTGTTTTATTAGCTCAGCTATTGTAAATGAGGATGCTCCAGCAATGTACTTCTGAGCTTAAAATTAATACATTTCATTTATTTACTTTTATTTTTTATTTACTTTTATTTATTTTATTATTTAGACAGGTAGTCTTATTCACAAGAGAAACCTGTACATACATTTTTCTGATATCTTGTATTCATGATGAAGCAGTGGTTTGACATATCCTGCTTTTTTTAGATTTATGATAAACATTAGGAGTATTTGCTCAAAGTATCAGTATTGGATCAGTATCACAGATACCAGCCTGAGTTTTTCTCTGTATCAGAATCAGAAAGGAAAATGGTGATAACGAGCATCACTAATACTGTATGCAGCGTTAAGCCAAACCTGAGCCCTGGTTCAATGAGAAGACTCAGCAGGCAGACAGGACCGTGCAAAACTGAATGAAAAAGGTGGGAGAGATAAGCTGCAGGCTTCATTTCACGTCCTGAAGAACTGCCAGCATCATTACCAGAACCCTGTCAAAAAAAGACAAACGAACATTTGTCAAATGTTTTTGTGTTCAATCATAACAAACCATGTGTGTCATTCAAAACTGTTGACTCTGCTCTCRAGGCCCCACAACCTGTCTGCCTGGAAGCATCTATTGAATTATGAAGTAAATTCAATTTTTTTTAATTTATTTTTTTGGATAAGGTTGCAACCACAAGGGCTCTCCTCTCAGCCCCTGCTTGTGACCCCTGCTGCCTGGTCCCCTGCCCGGCTGTGTTTGACATCCAGTGACTCTGACCCTGTTAGAGGACATAATTGGCTACATTAACTCATCAGGTTTCCCCTGTGATCCTGACCCCACCCACCGCAACTGTTTTAAAAAGGTTTTCCCCAGCTTGGCTTGGCCCATCCATTCTGTTATTAATAGCAGTCTGTCCCCATAAGGTTCAAACAGACAGTGGTGCAGGGCCCTTTTTAAGAAAACCTGGCTTTGACCGGACTGTGTTGATTAATCTTAGGTCCGTCTACAAAACACATTTTAGTTCTAAAATATTGGAGGAAGTTGTCTGTTGTCAGACTGAAGGYCTCTTTATACTCCCTCCAACCAGCCATCATCGGCTCAGATTGTCGCAGTTCCATGATGAGAATTACGTCACTGTGCTTTCAGTGTCGACTCTGCCAACCCTTCTTGCCACAACGTGCTGTTTTTTAATGCCCTACTGCTAAGGAGTTTATGTGTGACGGTCTGATGTTCGTGGGCATGTTTATTTGTGCTGAAAGCACTCGGACGTTGCATTTTGCTCCAACTACTCACTTCAGAATGTGATTGTTGTAACCAGAAGCGGACATTTATAAAGTTTGTCGAACAGCCAAAAACGTGTAGAGAAAATAAAAAAAGATGTTTTGTACAGAGGAGTCCGTCTGTAGATAAGTGTGGAGTGTTAACGGGACAGATTTCAAATAACAGCAGATACAGCGGGTAAAATAAGAATTGAACACGTCACCATTTTTCTCAGTAAATATATTACTAGAGGTGCTAATGACATGAAATTTTCACCAGATGTTGGTAACAACCCAAGTGATCCATAC